GAAACATTGGAGGTAAAAATAACATAAGAAACACATGTACAGAACACCACTGATGTTTGAAAACATACTGATAGGTTATTACATTTGAGAATTATTCTTAGAGCAAAGATATGAAGTTACACTTAAAACCGAAAACAAGTTTCTAACATGTAAACAATTAGCAAATAAATGGAAATAAAGGTTATAAATATTAATTAAGCTTCTGTTCCTAACCAATAGGAAAATATCAAAATGACCATGAAGAATCTATTTCACAAAAAAATGCACAATTTCACTTTAACATTTGAGTGTTACACTCCTGACACATTCAGGCAAGAGACTTAATATCTTAAAATATTGATTTAAAATATTTTTTAATGAAATACTTAAGACAAGTATAAGTTTTCTATGTTAATTGTTCCTTTTTGTTTATCTTGCATTGAATTACTTTGCTTCTCAACTGAGTGTGACTTTGTTGAGTCATCCCAAGGGCATGTAACTGATCACTGCTGGCCCAAAAGAAACAATTGCAGTCATCAGGAGAAGTACCTGGAATCTTCCAACCCTTTCTGCGAATTTTATTTTCAAACTCGCTTAGAGTTTCATTTTTATGCTCTGTTGAGTAGTTATATATATAAGACTGTCTGTAAGCATACCTCTCAGGTTAGTCTCTCTCTCTCTCACAATTGTTAGTATTACTAGCTACTACTTTATTAAGGTTAGGTATTAAGCAAAAGCAGAGCAAAAATGCAGTGTTTTGGCAGAATTCAAATGGTTAGTATTTTAAAAGACTAAGGACTACAATAACTGAAAATTGAATATGCAGGAACTGCATTCAAACAATGTGATAACAAAAATGATTGCAGAATTAACAGTAATTATCATAGATGAAAAAAAAATTACTGTATGTCTTTATTGTTATTGACTTGGTTACTGTTTAGAAATAATATCAAATCTCATCATACTAATTGGCATATATATTTGTTTACATAAGTTTTATAGTGTTTTTTTGATATCTACTTCAATTGTTTATTAGTCTGCTGAAAATAAAACAAAGTTAACTACAATTGCCGAAAAAGAAAAAAATGTCAGGAGTGTAACACTTTTCACTATTCTCACATACTGTATTTTACTTATATTGCATACTTAATCTTCAATAATTGTATATAAATGCTTTGTTCTGCAAAGAGTATATACATGATTTTAATTTCTCAGTAATTTCTTTAGTGTATTATCATTAAATTTCAATGATTATACTTGTCAATAGTAGACATTTAGGAAATTTTGATGTTATTTAAGTAAATATACTAAAAACAGAACTTAAGCATTGTGGTTTCTTAAAAAAAACACAAAAAAACAAATACTTAATTACTTTTCCTTATGAATAGTGGCAAGAATCATATTTAGATACGAAATTTATATGGTATATTCATGAAATCGTTACAAGGTTAAAAGATGGAAAAAATAGTGTTACACTCCTGACATCACTGATGATCATGTACAGAAAGTGCATGATTTAGTTAACTTGAACTTATGTCACTGCTGACATCACTTGGACTCAAGTTTTTGAAAAAGAAAGAATATATTAATATAACACCTTATATGCAATAAGGAAATCAGTAAAAGTACAAGATGTTACACTCCTGACACTGAGCACTGTCATTATTTTGAATCGAAACTGAGTCAATAACATTTATAGCATAGAAAAAAGAGAATTTATATTCTTAACTATATACAATGGTCAAAATGTTAGAAGCAAGGAAAAGCTCTTAATAACAAAGATATAAGCAGAAACTTTACTGTTAGTACAAACCATGCTTTTTTTAAAGTACATTTTATTTTACAACAACTGACTTTAGTGACTGGATAACCAAGTGGGATACCTACATTTTACAAAAAAAAATAGGAAAAAGCAATTGCGAGAGAATAAGATATATAACATAAGTGACAAAAATTGTCATTTAAGAAACTGTTTTTCTGTATCAGGAATAGAGAATCATCATTTGTGTAAAATGTCACACTAAAAGTGTTACACTCCTGACATTTTAGGGTAATTTTTTTCTTGTATCTTTTTCACTTGTAGCGTGATGTCCCTGAAACTTGGCATATTTTACAACACTGATAGATGCTATATTTAGCACTTATAACAATATACACAACTATTAAAATATTAATCTTGGTAGCCTTTAAATGTTTGGCCTCATTATTTTTGACTTTACCCATGGACTAATAGAATCTATCATTGGGTTAGATAGAGGATAGGGAAATCCCAACCCGAGGGTGATCGGTGCTATCGGGAACGAGCCTTGGCGAGTTCCCGATGGAACCGATTGCCCGAGGGTTGGGATTTCCCCTATCCTCTATCTAACCTAATGATTGATTATTTTTCTCACTCACCTGGACACAGAAACTAGATCTACTTGCTAAGCCCTTGTTTTGAAAAGCGGGGCGGGGCTTAGGCTGCAAAAAAGTCTAGTCTGATCAAGTTTATCAAAATTTGTGAAAAATTCAATGAAAATAAATTCATATGAGATCCCTCATAAAAAAGCAAGGTTATCATGATAAAACACATCAATAATAAAGTTGCAGAGTATCATAATATAATTGTTTATAAGCAATTCAGTCCATATTTAAATGGTTGCCAAAAAGCGTTTACCGTTTGAAAAGATTTTTCTACTTATTCGGTTATGTTGGCCGAATATTCAATTAAAATATATCAAAATGAGATTCGTCATCAAGAAGCATCGTTATCATAACAGAAAACATGGATGTTCTACATGAAAAGTGTCATAATATCCGATTTTACGAAGAATTTTGCGATATTTTAAAGTGTGCTATTTTTAGTAACAAATCGATATTGGAAAGGGCGGACCTAGGTTGAGTAGGACTCATTGCAGTGTGAAAGTTAATATCAATCTGATAATGTTGATTCCGTGGACAATTTAATATATTAGCTCACATATTTTTAATACATTTTGAGCTTTTGATGTTTCATTTTTGTTAAAATAGGAGTGAATCGCGTATGTGTATGAATACATTTTTAGAAGTGCTGCACGTTGAGTGTGAGATAAGCCCATGTGAGATAAGATTTTCCAACACCGCTATTTTTAGTAACATTTACGGATTTTTCTATCTGGTTAGTGAGAAAAACCAGTTCTAAAGCATTTAAGAGGTCATTCAGCTGTTCAGTATATAAATGAAAATATATCTCTATGAAAATTCATGACATATGTTCACTTTAATCTTTATGTAACATTTCTGTTACATTTGACTGAAATTCAACAATTAAAAAAGGCATATTTCCGTATTGGAAAGATATTTTTGTCTATATTATTCATCTTTACATAGTTAATGGTGTATTTACAGATAGCAATTTGTATTAAATTATGCTAAGTAATAACTTATTTAATGTAAATATTCTTTACTATGCACTGTTTTGATTTAACCCTAACAGCAGCAGAATGTCTGTCAGAATCAAAGCTTTAATACATACAAGTTGAGGACATCATAGTCACTTCTAGTAGAATGAATGAAAGGTTTGAGAATAGGTTGGGAGTAAGCATAGATACTTACAGGGTACATACTGATACTGTATATGAAAAAGATACGGTATACCATCAAGTCTCAATAAAGTAAAGATTTGGATGAATTTGGGTATTTCATGACTCTGTGACTTTGAGGTACCTTTTTACAGGTCACATCCCTTTTGTTTGTTACTGTTAAGCACTGGAAATAGTCGAGTGTGGCCATATACATATATTGTGTTTCAGGTTATTCTCGCCTTTGTTAAATTTCACAAATTTTACAGTTAATTAATTGTTGTGAATCATATTCCTGTTCTGTAACAGTTACTTGCTGATTTATTGTAGTCAATGGAAATAAAGTTTAGTTGATCTATTTTTTTTTCTCCGATAATAAGGGTATGAAAATTTAGTGAAAATTAAATGATCATATTAATAAATAATCAGTTATATCATATTTTATTAATTGTAATGTATTTTGTTAATTATACATTTTAGGAATTTTGGTTTAGCATGTTCAGACGTACAGACACAAATTAAAGAGATAATCAGTAAGTGGAATGGACCTGATAACTGCAAAGCTGGAGGAGAAAAATGTTTCTACAAGGTTTGATTCTTCAGTATATACATCCATGTCATACTTGAGTTTTGAGATAGGTGGCTGGCAACACGTTTTCATAGTTATATTCATGTATTTATTAGGCCATACCATGGAAACTTGCTAATTATGTAAATGACTTGTGACCAGTCAAGTATGGTAGCATCGAATGTCAGTTCTGAGTATGGCAAAAAAAATAATATTTTAATATTGCTGTGTAAGCAACTTTATGTAATTTCCACTTCTTTGATTGTTTTTTTTTTTGTTATCATACAATAATTTATAAATGTATTAGGATTTTTCCGGTTTGAAGGTGCATTTATTCAGGCAAGTTGCTTAAGACACAAAATGTAATTTACGTTAGTATGTTTTTAAGATTTTTTTTTTATATTTAAACTATTTCCTTGAAATTTAAGAAAATTGTGTTTCATACAGTGTCAGTCCAACTTGTTCTCAACACCGCTTCAAAATTAAATTTGTGTAATAGAAATGTTACACTTAAAGTTATCCTTTGTACAATTTTAATGCAAAAATCACATTTTTCAGGTCTACTATTATTTCCCTGAGACTGTTTTTTACAAAGCTGTTTCACTGTTGTTTTAACTAATACAAAGTAAATGTTAATCATGTTTAAACTACATTTTCCAGCTTAAATCGGTGTCAGAAACTGAACTAAAGGCAACCCATGAAACACCAAAAAAACATTACGTAGATGATTTAACCTTCACCTTTACTAAGAAGTCAGAAACACAATGCTCAGTGAAGGTAGAATTTCAATTTTCATATATAACTAAATATATATAAAAACATAATTATATCAATATATTTAATGCAGTGAATCAATGTAATATTTATGACTCATTTAACACACTGTTTCCTAAACTTGTTCTATGTTATCTCAATGTCTGTTATAAGAAGCTTATTCTGTAGGTGTGTAGGATGTAAACAACTCTTAAGACTGCTGGGTCCATCTGTCAGTCATATTTAGCAAAATTTCAAAATAATGTTTTGACAGAATTGTACATACCCAGATTGGATGGCACAGCTGTACTTTAATACTGATCTTGGTCTGCACTGATCTTTACATTTATTATACTGCAAAATGTTAAGTTTTATAATATTGCTTTCCGCAGTTTCATCATTCAGTTGTCAGTACATGTCTTGTGCCTAATTATTATTTCATTTTATTTTAGGGTTATTCCACGTCAGAGACATGGTATGCTGTTCTTGATTTTGGAACAAACTATTGCAATCTTCATAATCTAATTACAGGTATGATTATAAATGAGTATTTGTATCTCAACAGTTCATGGCATAAAATAAAGAAACTTTGGTCAATCATTTGATAACCTCTATTTTATTTTTGGATTTTCTTTTGAATCAAAACCACTTAAAATAAAATAAAAATAAAATAGCAATAGTCTCTGTACAGTTCTTAATTTATATTTGAGTACTGCCATCATTTGGAATTTAAATGCTTTATAATCAGCCCTAGTTTTCACAGCCTCAACATGGGTGAAAGTTTTCAGGATTTTGTCTGAAGTTCAGGATTTTCAGTCTCCTGAAAACCTATTTCCTATGTTAAACTACAGAAAACTGCTTAATTCATGATTTTCAGGATTTTTGAAATTTCCAACAACAGATAAAGGGAGGTAATACATATTTAACAAATGACTGATATAGGTGGAAACTATGCTATAGACACAGTTGATTGAAACTTGTATTGATATAATAATCAAGCTGTATATGCTTCAATTTTTTTTACTTATTTCAAATTTTTTATACTCTACACAGCATATATACAATTAAATGCTTTGTAAAATGATGTTTATTTTTTAGTACTAAAAACGTTGTCTTGTTTTTTTTCACTACAGGTGCTAAGCTGGACAAATCTCCTCAATACAGCGAGTCAACAAGTAACTCCAAATGTACACAGTTTTCCTCTGCTAATTGTGACAAGTATTGAACACACCTTGTACATTCACTGATGAAGACATGGCCTCCTCTAATATTGGTTGTATTGTAATAGAAACACAGATTTTTGTTGAAAATTAGGAGGATATGAGAAATATTGAACATATAATGTATAGATAATAAGGAGTGATAGAAGTACTGAAGTAATACTGTATGTTTGTAACAACAATTTTCATTGGACTAGGATCACTAATGTAATACTGCACTTTTGTAACAACACTTTTCATTGGACAATCATACCATGTATCTTATATACATGTAAATTTGTTAAAAAGATTTTTAACAAGTTATATGGCTGTAAATAATTTGCTATAAAACCTTTAATTTCTGAACTTGGTTACATATGCTTAAAACAGTTAAAGCCGCTATATAACCATCCAAAAGTCTTATTACTATTATATAACTTGTTTTTTGAGGTATTAAGTCCATTAACAGGTTATAAAAATTAATCACTTGCCTTTTTCTAATATATACTTAACCTTTGTCTAGATATTTTGTGACAGCTTTTCATATGCATGCTCATGTGATCTGATGTGTTTGAAATTTGACATTTTTTACATTAACATGGTTGATTTTCATTTGCCTGAAGTTGAAGTTTGTTTTGTCTTATCAATATTTACATAATTATTCCGCCTTGTTTTTTGTACATTCTTTTTTGCATTTTTAAACTTTTATTTTCAAAATTTGTCATTATACAAAGATCTTACAGATACACAATTGCCCATGATATTATATATATACAGTACAACTTATTTTTTCAATTCTAGTTTGATATATGATTTAAGTATAAAGTATGCTTACCTTAGAAAAAAGTTAACCTTTAACCTTGTAAAGGGAGGAAAGAAGTGATAACACAGTTTTGCTATTGTCTGTCAAAATTTGTTTTATTGCTAGCTTTACCTTTTTTTACTTTTTTTTTTCAAAAATATTTAGGAACAGAAAATTACCCATGACAGTTTTATGTTAAAACTAATTATATACACAATAGTTTTGTTACAGAGTTACAGACCTTTAATTGTGTGTTAAAGTACATATTGAGGTTTATCAGTTTAAGGGACAGTTCTTGTGTTATGAGTTTTATTGTAAGAGGGATCCCAACTGGGAGTTGGCATGTTATCAGGTGGTCCTTTAAAAATTGCTAAAATGGTTTCATGTTTAAAACAGAAATAAGACTTAAATGACATTTCCTCTAGCTCTTGTCTTATTCTGATAAAACTTAATTGATAAGAGTGTTCTGGTAATTAAATCTTGCAAATTTAGACCATATACTCTGGTGAGTGAGAAACGACCATCATGTCCCTTTTGTTTTGTGGTATCAAAATAACAAAAATCAAATATTGATGTATGATACCTTTTTGTAATTAAAATTTATAGCGACTTTAGATAATGATATTATTATTATTATTATTATTATGTATATTTTATATTGATTATATATATAAACACACTAAAGATCTGTAAGTTTTGATAACTTAATACGTTTACCTGTTGCTTTATAATATACATGTATTGTTATATGAAACCTGTGTTAAATTTTTTTCTTAACCATGTTCGTGTATATACACTATGATCACTATTTACTTCATGAAGTTTTCAGATGGGAACAAAAGATTTTGTATGATTGAGACTGGACATTTTCTGCATTTAATGGTTAAAATTTTCCTGATTACAGTGAATGCATTTAAGTAACTTTAGCAACACTTTAACAGACTTACACTTTTGACAGTCTGGAATGATTAAATTCTGTGTGGTAGATATGATAAGAATATAGATTAAAATTAAAAGGTGTTATTTTGCTTTAAAATTTTGAAAACAGTTATGTAGCTCAAATTATGATATCAAGCAAACAGAACAAATGTTAAGCTGTTGTAAAAGAAATCTCAATGTTCTTCTCTTTATTGGATGTGTTAATATATATGATTATGTTTGTCATATTTTATTTTCATAAATAAATTCATTGTTATTCGGAAACAGCATTTTATTTTATGACTCCTTACAGTAAACGTTTTCTGGAGCTGCGTGTTTTCCATCCCTTTTGACTGGCAACTGTGCAAACAGGGTGTTGTTTCCTTGAGGCAAAAAAACTTTACCATTCCCCAATTGTTTAGCCTGGTTGGTTTCCCAGGAACGGGGGGGGCGGATTCGAGAGTGGTGTCAATAAGCCTATAGCTCCCAACATAATCGAACTAAAATAAATTTGCATAAACTAAATAGGTGTTTGTTCAGCACAATTATGATGAATGCTTTAAGCCGTAAGACTCACAAATCTTGGTGTCATATGAGGTAGTACCCGAGTACAGTTTAAACCGGATTCGTGAATTGAGAGACGGACAGCTTAACAATCTTTAATATGCACAGGGAATAACTGTACAGTAACGCAGTAATAGCGCAAGAAATAACACCGAATCTGTGCAATACAAGCAAAACGTTAAGTTAAAGGACCAATATATAGAAAGTAAATAAAAATTAACGCAAATAACGTTACATGTAATTTAATCATAACAAAATCTGTCGGTATACTCCATATACTGGGTTGATGTTTATTATCAAAATAATAAAATGGATGTCCAGTGGAACTATGGTCATCAAACTAGTTTACATATGTTTTTGCAGAAGACACATGATTAAAGAAAGAGGCAAATTAAGCATAAAATGTCGACTTTCAAAAAAACTTCTAAATCACTAGAACTTAACTAATGACTAAGCATTAGAAGGGGAAAAAGATGGTTTGTCCATAATGGCTAATAATATTTTTATGCCCCCACAAAGTGGGGAACCATTATGGCCCTTTGTTGATTTTTTCACTATATACTATGTAGAAATTTTGTGATCGCAACTCCTCTTAAACTGGATGGCAGATTTTGCTTAAACTTCCAGGGATGAACAACCTTTATGTGTAGATGGTAGTAAAGGAAGGATTTTTGCTTGGCGACCGGGAAAATTTAAAAACCAGAATTATGGGCCTTTGTTGATTTTTCACTATATTACAAATATAGAAATTTTTACGAAACGCAACTCCTTTTAAACCGGTATGGTAGATTTTGCTTTTAAACTTCCAGGGATGAAACAACCTTAATGTGTAGATGGAAGTAGAGGAAGGAATTTTTGCTTCGACCAAATTTAACAAAATTATGGCCCTTTGTTGATTTTTTCGCTATATACCATATATATGTTGTCAGTGGGGGCATCCGTGACACAGTTCTAGTTTTAATTTATAATAGTAAGCAAAGCTCTAAAATTTTATGTTCATGCATATTTAAACTTAACATTGCCTTTTGGTTTATCAACGCATAATTCGGATCACTCCGCTTCAATATCGTTGAATTGTTTAATATTTCATCTCTAGTTGCTTATCTACATAGGTATTAGGCATTAATCTAACCAATTTAAGTAAAAATTATGTCATCTTTCTTTGAGGGGTGGATGGGGGGAAAGGACGAAAGGATTTATTGAGACACTATAAAAAGAGTATTAAAGTATTGAAGTATATGGGAATTATCTCTGATTTAAGTAGCTTGTCTATTTCTTTGAGATGCTATAATCCTCTTACAAATACCATTCACCAAACTGTATCAAAATAACTGAGCAGTCCGTGTAGTACAAAAACCCACACGAAAATGCCATCTTTGCACAGGAGAATTAAGAAAATTATTTTAATTTTGTTGCTTTCAGTGGGTTTAGTTTCTATAAATCTGAATGGAAATGGGAATAATTGGTTACAAATCATTTTGACAGGTTAGTAGTAGTATACATTTGTACTTTTAACAAAGTCCAATTTTTAGCTCGATTTTTTTCTTAAAGTAAAACAAAGGAGTTTTGTGACAGACTGACTGTCATTGGGGCGTTCACGTTGCCGTCCGCAAACTTTAACCTTGATCATAACTGTTTTTATCGTTTTGCAATTAAAATGAATGAGAATACGACGAATACTTTCAATGATATTTTTCTAGCGATAACCAATTAACATGCTCTAAATCCATAATCAAAACATTATTGTTATCTTTTTGTCTCCTAATTGAGAAAAAAATGTTAATTTCAGAGGCTTAATTACAAAAGTACCTTGTTTCAAATACATGAATATTGCGAAAAAATTCGAGATGTATATTCAAAATGACACTGTCATCATTACCACGAAAAGTAGAGGAGAAAAACAACAGTTTAAAAAAAAGTTTCCTTACAGAATATACCATTTTAGCTAAGCTGAGCTTTTCGATTTTTAAGGAATTTACACAAATTATTTTTCAATTTCGGTACCTCAGGGGGAGTCGTATTACCATACAAATAAATATTATGTAAAGAACAAACACTCAAATATAGCTTCATATAAACCCTGAAAGTAAAAAAAGAAATAAAAGTAGTAGACATTGATAACATTTTATTTTAAAGGAACCCCACTGAGGCTCAAAAGCCTTAAAACATCAAATTTAAAAATCTTACATAGAAATCAGCCGGAAAAATATGAAACAGATAATGTAGAAAAATACTCCGAATTAAATTGAAAATCGATATTAAGTACGATGAATAGTTCGAATTGTTAAAAGGGTTAAAACGGTTTTCATTTTTTAGTTCATTTTGCACGTAAACATTTTCTTGAAAAACACATGAATAGGATTTAAAAAAAATCCGTCATTATTCTGATTATGTGTCTTTTTTATGACTAGGTGGTCGATCTACAACCGAATGCAAGAATGTTTTACTGTTTTCTTACATGAGAAGTGGGTCCTCTGTGACAGGAAATCTGCTGCGAGACTCTCCGGGAGTATTTTTCATGTTCGAACCACTGAGTCCACTAGCACCTTACAGTTATTTTACAGACAGCTCAGTTTGTGAGATGAGAAACAGCACGTGCAGGTTAATATTTTATTAATCCATGCAATTCTACTGGGTATTCAGATAATTTCAAAAGTTTCATGATACAAATGTACCTTTTTTTATTTTACTTTGTAATTAAGGCGATAAAAGATCTGCAAAAATTAAATGAGAATGAGTAGATAATATTTAGCCTTTTAAAACAAATTGTCCTGTCGGGAAAATATTAATAATGGAGATAATTGGGCTCAGATCGTGTACGTCGATTTCTCTCCTGTTTTTTTATAATTGAGAGACTGATTTTTGCCCTGTTTGTAAAATTGATAGGATGACCTTTGTAATGACATTTGTACAATTGACAGGAAAAGCTTTGTCTTGTTTGTACAATTGACAGGAGGACTTTTGTCCAGTTTGTATAATTGACAGAAGGCTTTGTCCTGTTTGTATAATTGACAGGGGTCTTTGTCCTGTTTGTATAATTGACAGGGGGGGTCTTTGTCCTGTTTGCTTTATTGACAGGGGAACCTTTGTCTAGTTTTCTTATTTGACTGGAGGACTTTTGTCCTTTTTTTTTAATTTACCGGTTATATATACTCGTATAGCCCGTTCGTAAATATTACAGGAGGGTTTTAGTCCAGTTTGCATGATAAATTGATAGAAAAACTCTATCATGATGCATTGTATTTTTATGAGCGAGCTTTTGTCTAGTTGATCTTTTTGGATTGCAACCCAAAAGAGAGGACCTTTGTCCGTATTCATGTAAAACAGCAGATTAAAGCAAAGAATTGCACTGATTCTTAAAGACGCCTTACGTCCACATTTTGTGATAAACGTTTTCTTAATTACAAAGAGTTACTTTTATCTCCGAGTAGACAGAAATATATGTAGTGTTTATATTTTGTATTTCCAGAACCAAAAATGCTAGAGATCGAATTGGAACAGCGTTAACGGCACTGGTCAATCTATACTCTTGCAATCTGTCAAAAGTCCCGATATCTCTTATATATAAGATGGCACAAGAAGGAAAGTCCGGTAAAGCGTGGTTAGAATATGGAGCATGTCTGAATGGAACGAAATCACGTGACCAACAGAATAGTAACGACATAGATACGACCATGCATTGTCTTAATCGTCTTGAACAAGCTTGCATATCTGCTGACCGCAGAGTAGCTAAAGTTTTACGTTTAGGTTTCTCAACAGTAGAGCAACTGCTTAATAGATTACCTACTTTAAAGGTGCTGTACTTAACACGAGATCCTCGTGCAATAATCAACTCGCGCATCAAAACAGAGTGGTTCCCAGTATTCAAAGAAAAACCCGGAACTGTCTCTAATAATATACTAAGTTTATGTCTTAAAATGAAAACGGACATAATGTCGTGGATATACACTGATGTATTGTACAAAGATAGGATTTTACATACTACATTAAATAAACTAGCGTCCCGAATGCCCGTCATGTCAGACGTGTACAAGTTCATACACAAGAAAGTAACTGGTGATGAGAGACAAAAAATTATTACATTTTTACATGGAAATAAGGCAAACAATTATACAGAAAAATGGCGGACAGAATTACATCCTGCTGATAGGAAACGAGTAGAAAATCAGTGTGGCTACGTCATTCAACGTTTGACTGAGTTATAAACCGTTTAAATATCATTATTATTAAATAAAATGTTTGATATAAAATACAACAAGTCTGTGAATTGGAATAAATTTTTCTTATATATTTAATACAGTACTCAGGTTATAAAGACATCCAAGTCTTAAAAAGATTAATTCCGTGGTACATGTACAGACTTATTTTTTTCTCATTAATTAAAATGTTGAATTTCTCTCCAGCCGGTGCTGGTGGAGTTTCACCCGGTGGTAGGGGGTGTTACACCCGATGGTAGGGGGTGTTACAACCAATGGTAGGGGTTGTTTCACCCGGTGGTAGGGGGTGTTTCACCTGATGGTAGGGGGTATTACAACCGATGGTAGGGGTGTTTCATCCGGTGGTAGGGGGTGTTACACCCAATGGTAGGGGGTGTTACACCCGGAGGTAGGGGGTGTTTCACCTGGTGGTAGAGGGTGTTTCACCCGGTGGTAGTGGGTGTTACACCCGATGGTAATTAATTTGGCTAGCTTGTAATGTATTTTTCTATTATTTTTTCCTTGTAGTCTATGCTTAATGAGGGTTCATCCGCCCGATAAGGCACTGAATGAGGTAAGGATTTTAAATTTAATCCAACGAATCACCGCGGGGTATGACATTCTTTTGTAAAGATGATAACAATGGCCTTAAAGTAACGGATACATTTTTATCTGTCTTTCAATTACGTTACACAAGTAAAGGAATTATGTTTTACCGTGCATATAATTCATGTTTTTCAAAGACACTTTGTAGAAATTTCCCAAACAAACAAGACAAGACCTGACGGTAGGCCAGCACGCTCGACTATTCTTAGTGCTTGATAGTAACAGCCTTGATAATGTAAAATTTTCTAAGTTCACAAAAGGGCTATTATTTTCAAATCCATGTTATAGGCCTTGGAGAGTGTCTTATTATGCTCACAAAGAAAAGTATAAAATTTCAACTTGTTTCAAAGCAAGATGTCAATGAAATATCTGAGGTGGTACGTAAAATTTAACATGAATTCGAAGTCGAAAAATTGGCAGAATTGTCAAAATGCTCGATAAAGTAACCTCCTCCTGTGTACAGGTTGGGGACATGATGGTGAACAAGTGTGCAAAGTTTCAAAGCCATATGTCAATGGAATTTGAAAATATTTGAGGTTAACGTAAATTATAAGTCAAAAAGGGGGCATAATTCTGTTAAAATGCTCGATAGTTACCTCCTCCTGTCTACAGGTTGGGGTCAAGATGATGAACAAGTGTGCAAAGTTTCAAAGCCATATGTCAATGGACTTTGAAAATATTTGAGGTATTACAAAAACTTTAACGGAAGTGGTTACGCCGACGCTCGGTTGACTAGGATAGCTCTATTCTTATCAAATAATCGAGCTAATATAAAACACATAATTATATAAATTGTCAAGTTATCATCCATTTTATTTGCGATATTCAAAATGCCGTTCAAAAACCTCATTGTAAAAATTACTTTTTCCTGGTCTATATAAATCAGGTAATTTCCAGAATAGAGCCAATTTTGATCTCAGGAAAGCCAGACCTGTGTTCTGCACATTATCTCATTTTATAAGTATTATTTCTACCAACAAGTTTTAATGTCTTTCTATGGTTCAAACGATACAGAGCAGACACGAAATTTTAAAATTCATACACATTGACCGAGTTGTATATAGTGTTAATAAAGTGTTGTTCTGTGACCTTGACCGGAGAATGGTCAAACTTGCGCCCTGTACATCTCGTTGTGCAAAACAGACGGACAAAGTTGCATTACAATATACCCCAATTTTTTTCCGTGCGAATATGAATGGGCAGTATTAATTTGGAAATAGCTTTTCTTGTGCTATTCTTACCCCGATTAAAGTTAAACGGCTTTAAACGCTTTTCATTTTTGGCTCATATTGCACAACTGAAATGATTAAAGGAGCATACTATCTGAAATTTTGCACACAAGGTCAAAACCTGCAATAAATGGTATACAAGTCTCATAATATAATTCCAGTCTGTCATATTAAACTCCTCTCTTTAAAATATTTCATCTACTATTACCAGTTCACAAATTCGTTAACAATTTTCAGATTTACAAATGGAGAAAATTCGATAAAAATATATACCAACTAAATTTTGTTAATTTTTTTATGAATTTATTGGAAATGTAATACAAGAAGTGATGAAAGTAACAAAGTACGAAACAATTTATTTTTGTTCATTTATTTACAACTGGTAATAAAACCATAATACATGTGGACAGTATGCCTTACATTGCATTAAATTGAAACGATTTCTTTACTTGAATGGTGTTCATGCAATTAACAACACAGCCTTCAAATTTATCTAAACAAAGTTTTTGATAAAACAATAAAAAGACAACAAGAAGAAACAATTAACTTTCATACAAGAACCAGTTACAACATTACAAATAACCACTTTAAGGCAGCATGCCTCCAGATTTATTAACTTTATTTAGTGTAATTAATAGTGAACACATTGTAGTGTACAAATAGACTAACAATTCACAGATAAGTGTGTTAAAAATTTGCATAATATACCACAAGTCACCAACTGTATAGAAAAATGGTGCATTAATAGTTAATTTAGCCATTAATTCAATTAGAGTTATGAATATACAATACAGTACAACCTCTGTACAGTGACCCTCTGTAGACCAATCACCTCTTTACAACAACAAGTATCATTATTCCCAAAGTAAGATCACAAAAGTTTAAATTGAACATCTCTTGAGTAACACATCTCAGTAGCAACCAAAATCATTCTTTCTCCCACAGAGGTAAGACTGTATTTATTTATTTTTGTATTCTATTTTTTTCTTCAAAATTTTCTTAACTTGTCTGTTAAGGCATGTTGCTTCAAAATAGAAATACATGTATATGAAAATTATGAAACTAAGAAAAGTCAAACATTAATGTATAGATCACAGACCTGTCTTATTCTGAATATCAGATAACAATTTCACCACATTTGTGTTAACAATGTTTGTCGTTTAATCTATTATTATTCAATTAAAAGGTCAGAGTAAATGGATAAAGGAATGCCAAAACTCTCAAACAAGTTGTGCAACTGTTTCAATGAGAAAATATCAAAAGAATATCTTAGCATTGAATTGGAGAGTTTCACTGTATGACAATATCAAGTTTAAAACACCAAGCAAAGATGACAATGCCCCCCCCCCCACCCACCCGTACACCTATTATGGTGTCAAACCATGTTTGGGCCTTGTATCAAATGTCAAAAAAAATAAAATAATAATAATACATATCATAATAAAATTAAAAACATTCTTTAATGAAGTGATTAACATGAAAGAAAATTTGACAATTTCACATTCTAAGCAACATATACAAACATCAAAAAAGATATAAAAATATACATCAAGTCAGTAACTGAAAGCTTATACCCAACATTGTATTATTTATGTATTTTTTAATGCAAAGTAAATGTAATCTTTTTTACCAAATGTAATAAAAGTTATATGCAGTAGTATGTACTAGTGTTTCTCTTTATTAATATTCAAGTCAACTTTTTACTTGTGTCAGTATTTTTTCAAGGTGAAAGGAAAAAAGCAAGAATTTTATTTTTATAAAAATTAATGATTTGATGGTAATTTGATTATACTTTGTGACGGTTATAAATTTAGGCCTGTGTATGGGCAGTCAGAACGTGCATCTCGGCATCTTTGAAAGCTCTAAATGTTGCCCTACATTCACTACAAGCATACACTTCTACAGTAGTACCTACTGCTGCTGATGTACTTGCCGCAGGTTCTACATCAACCTCATCTGGTATAGGGTTAGTAATGTTAAATGCTAAGTTAGCCCCAGTCTGATCCATGTCACTACTCATTACAACTTCTTGCTCTGAAGGTAGAACAGTGTTTCCTACAATGTCTCCAACAACTACATTTTGTATTTCAGTAGACTGATCTCCAATCTCTACTGTCATTACACTATCCTGCCCTTCAACCTTTGTTATTTCAGTGAACACTCTACATTTCTGCTTGTGAAACTTCAAAGTTTGAGCTGTAGAGAAACTCTTACCACACTGGCAAACATGCTTACTTTGGTGAGTGTGTATTGTCACATGATTCTTTAGTAAGTTCATAAACTTAAAACCTTTCATACAGTAACCACATTTGAAAGGTCGTTCAGCTGAGTGGACAAATGTTTTGTGTTTCTTTAACATACTGCGGAAACCAAATTTCTTGTTGCATATGTCACAACTGTATGGTCTGTTCCCAGTGTGCTTGTTCAGATGGTCATCATAGTTGTTCTTCAGAAAGAACTTTTTCCCACAATATGAACAGACAAACTTATAGTTTCGTTCCTCCTCTGGTTTGTGGGTCTCCATATGAGCCTCTAATGATGCTTTTGTACTAATAGTTTTACCACAGAGTTCACATGCAAATAATCTGTTATGGAACTTCATGTGTCTCTGCAGGTAAACTTCACTGCTAAACTCCTTACTACAAACTTTACATCTTTTTGGAGTAGCATCGGAATGCTTCAGTTCAATATGAGATTTCAAAGTTTGGTATGACATGAAGGTCTTCTTACAGTAACAACATCGAATCTCTTCATTATGGGCGTCTTTCTTATGTTCATACAAGTCTTCTATAGAATTTGACTTATACTGGCATTTGTTACAAAAATGCCTTTTATCTTTGGAGGCATTTTTCGTAGGCTTGTGAACAGTGCTTACATGAGAGCGAAGACTGGTCTCCAATGAAAACACTTTTTTACAATCTCCAACATTACATTTGAAAGCTTGTTCATTTTTAGGACCATGCTTTCTGTCTATATGTAGAGTTAAACTATGATCAGTATCCATATCTAACTCACAAACATCACACCTGGGTGGCTCATATACATGGTGAAAGGTCATCAAATGTTGGGTCATATCTGCAAATGATACGGCAGCATAATCATCACACAGAGAACATTTCAGACTATCTACATCTACTGTATTCACCATCTTCTCCATTTCTTGCTCTGCTTCAACCTCTTTCTTCACCTTTCGTTTTCCACAGTTCACTTGTCTTATACCAACTTTAGAAATTAAAGGTACTGATGTTGAAACATTTGCAGTTTTTAACTTCTTTACAGAGTTCTCAGTAATCTTTTCATCTGACTTAGGTGAGGAAACCTTAGCACTACCATCATTGTCAATTTCAATGTCTTCATAACCATCATTGTCATTATCATCATCAACTTCATCATTATCAGAGTCTCTATCTAACTCTTCTTGTTCACTATCATCAAGATACCCTGTTTTGTCAACCTCAACTTTCTGGTTATCTTCTTCATCTTCCATACTGATATCCTGGTCCTCCTTAATACCACTTCTTCTTCCCCTACCTTTTCTGGTTTTCTCTTCAACAATGTCTTCCACTTCTTCAGACTCCTCATCCTCGTCATCACTTACAACCTCTTGTTTAATTTTAGTATTTCCAGAGCTCATTTCCAAGTAGTTTCTTTTTACTCCTCTAGTTCCATATCTTGATGGAGTTCTAGGTGACACACTGGTCTTCACTGGTTTCTTGGCACTTGTTTTTACAGACAATTTTTCAGGTGCTGGTAACTTCTTTGAAGGCCTTCCTCTGCCTCTTTTGCCACCCTCATCTGTTTTCTTGGAAGCTTCAATAATTTCCTTTATTTCTGAATATGGAAAACTGTCATCGGTTTTTTTTGGTCTACCTCTGCCTTTCTTGACTGGTTCAACTACTTTTTTCTCTTTCTTTCCTGTCGCTTTTCCCCCTTTTGTCTTCTTCCCAGACTTTGGGGTCATTTTTTGCACTGGTTCACTTTCAGAGTCCTCAGATGTGGCTTTCCCCTTTTTCTTAGCTGATTTCTTTACAGGACTAGATTCTTCCTCAGATTCAGAACTGTCAGAATCACCCACACCATTGATAATCTGAAGTAAAACAGAGCAACATTTAACTCTAAGACACATATAATGACTCTTATAGCAATTTTTCAGTCAATAATAATGAAAACTTTGATTACAAGCATTTCTTAAGGCCTAAATAAATATATATTCCAATAAAATTTTCAAAAAACATGTGGACAGGAAAAACTGTTTTGATTTTTTTTTTCTTTGAAAAAATACGTTATGATAAAAACTACTATGTGGTTATCAATTAATATTCTATTAATGCACAATTACCCTTGTCATATGAATTTATTTAAAAATTATTTTGTATGAGATTAAACAACCTTAACAATGAGTTCTTTCACCATAACAAGATCATCTATCTTGCCAGACAGTAGATATCTCCCGTCTTCCTCCGATACCTTCGTATTCGTCATACTTGCTATCTTAGATAACACAGAATTCACCACTGTTGTACTTTTCAAAGCATCAATAAATTTCTCCGAGAAAATAACTGAACCAAGATCAAAAACCTGAAATAAAGTATATCAATTTTCAGTCAGAATGTAAACTTCTTGACACCGCTTGACTCCCTTTTTTATCATAAATAAAGTTAAGGCATTTAAGAAAGTGTTACTACATCCATAATGAGAAGATTTTTTTCCCCTTATTTTCTAGTTATCTGCCTATAGCTTCAATCAAAATAATAGGTTGTTTGTTCTGTTTATACATTAAAGCATTATGATCCATTAGCATTCAAGCAAAGTCAGCTAACATTATGAAAAAATGTATGTGATTTAAATAGAAGAAAACTAAACATGTGTTTAAATGCCACAGATTACTCCATATTCTATTGTTTTTGTAAGTTAAAGGAAGGACAGATGGACTAACTAGTCTAAATCTATATATAAGAGTCTAAAATAAGATACATAAAATGCTAACCTCATCACTTGCAATGTCTAGTCCAAATATATCTTCAGTAAAATCTACAGTATCCTCGTCACCATCAACATACTGGTTGATCTCTTCCTGTTCCATGGCATGAGTAATTTCTTCCTTGATACGTTTCACAAGTCGGTTAATATCATCACCCTTGTTGCCCAATCCTCGAAACCTTCCCCCATGCTGGTAAGGGCGTTTCTTTGACAACGGAACTTTAGGCTTCCTTTCTAAATGTTTCTGTTCCTCGTAGGCTATGGCCTGTGATATTAACTTTTCTTCCATGTAATCCACATTGTCATGTAAAGGGGCAAGTTCCTGCACCAGGTACACATCGCCATCTATACTTGTGTCCATATCTTGAGGGTTTCTGTGATAATCAAAATAAAATGGTTATTGTCTGGATGAGTAAATTTGCATCTGTATGTAGTGTAGCTAGCAATCCTTTAAATGAACAATTAACAATTCAAAATTAAAGCAGAGTACCTGGTAGAAATAATAATATATGACATACTGGTATGTTGCTGTTCAGATCAAAATATCCGTCCAGAAGTGACCTGCCCATTGGAAGGTTGCTGAGGGATGGATATTCCAATCCAAACCACAAACATATGTCACATATTTTTTCTTGAATATTTTACCGTATTCCATCATATTTTAAATTCTTCCCTTACAACATTTTTTTTCTGTGGAAATTTATGTCATTACAACTGTAACTATTTTCTTACAACAGCATAGGAAATTACAACTTCATTCATTATGGAGAAATTATGTTATCCTAAGCATGCCATTGTAAAGCACTCAATTCATCTATCAACCCCAAAGCCAGATGAAATTTCCGGCATGGGTAAGACTAATGGATACACCAGCCTGATATGCAAGAAACATTATCCCGGATAAATACATCATAAGAAACTGTAACATATTCTCTAAGAATGACTTATTTTGCATGTGTATTACCTGTAGAGTATCAAACCCAGTAATTTGAGCCACCCCATGACCAGCAAGGATCAAGACCAGCAATGCATCAGTGCTGTCTGATCAGGATCCAACTGTTCAATTACAAACCCTATAACATGTAGAGAATCTGACAGCGAACAGCATGGATCCTGATCACACAATGCACAGGATGGTCTGGATCCATGCTGGTCGCAAATGCATTATGTTGGTTTTGTTGTGATGCCGCTCAATTTATGCATTATTCAATTTCAGATAAGCTGTTAGGTTTAGATTTTACTTACAAAGCTTCTGAACCATTAACCATACATTAAAGACCTATATTGCATACAAAATTCACCTCATTTTCATGACATCAATTGGTTTATTCATGTACATCCAACATTATATAGCGTGTAAACACTCATGTCCCTTATTCTGTGCACTGTCATGTATTCAATGCACCAAATATGTCATTCTTTTTTAATCAGGAAATTGTGTAATTTGCGTGAAGCATAATGATTAATAACCGAACTACAACAACAAAAATACCAAAATGAATTTAAACATTGATGATCATTAGAATGAGACACAGAAATAATTATTAACTTACTCCTCAATGAGATTCTCTCCAAACTTGAACATGTGACAGCCTCTAATATGTTCCTCGAATGATCCTTTAGTAAGTATAATCTTACAGCATATTGGGCAGTGAAAATGAAACTTTGTCTTGAAGCAACGTCTATCTATTCCCTCACATGTCTCGAAACACTTCAACAAGGCGTAACCTAAAATACCAATAAACTATGCAATACATCTATTTGGCTCTGATAGTAAACATTCCATTGAGTATGATTTTCATCCTGTACAGTGTGGTCTTTTTATAACATGTAGATTTTCAATGGATATCACTAACTCAGGGTTTTACGGGACGCAGTATTCTGCGTCCCTATACGCATAAATTTTGACATGTACGCATATAAGTTATCCACTTGCGTCCAAGTGTACGCACAAAATTAATCCTAGACAATAGATATTATTGTTTCTGACCCAACATGATTTTATCTCTTTCTTCTCGAAGCTCACAAATTCCATTTTAATCTAATACAGCGTGCAGAAAATGCTTGCATTTGTTTATTTCGGAAGTTAACATAATTGAAATCTACTGCGCATGCTATTTGCAAGTGCCCGCTGCAGAAACTGATGACGTTTATCGTGCAAGCTACAGTAACTGATGACGCTTACCGTAAAATCTATTTTAGGTAGCCGTTTTTGGTTTTTCTGTTGCTATATTTAGACAGACTTTTTATAACAAGCAATTACTATTGGTTAGCGTATCCAAAATGTCGATCTACCAGTTCGGCGAATGTTTTTTGTACATGAACGGCAATAATAAAAAAGTAGTGCTTTTTGCAAACCTATTTTCATGTAGTGTTAAAGAAATTAAGTTACTGGATCCATATGTTATTATCGTTGGTGTTATAAATATAATGGTTTCAGCGAACTTAACTTATGAGGAGGTGCAAAAGCGGTTTCGTCGGCCTTTTTGTATGATATTTTTAAAAACGCAACATATTTAGCTGACTGGTCTGAAAAGATATCTGTTGTGTGTTTACTAGTTCAGCTAAAATATTTACAAATAGATCAGTACAAATTTTCAGTCTGCTGGTGTAATCACCTTATCAATAACAAAATATGCTACTAAAACTTGACATTCCAGCCACTCAAAGACTTAAATAAGCCTTCGAAATAGCACATGATAGTATTGTAAAGGGCTATAAAAAACCTAGTGATAAAAGATATTGAAATCATACTTCTTATGAAAACAGTACAATATACATGCATGTTTCTCACAGGTAAGTGATTTTATGCAAAATAGAGTGGTCTCCATAGTCTTTTATAGTGAATATAATTTTGGACCCCTAAAATTCAGGCCTGGACCCCTACTTTTCTAGGCTGTGCATCCACTGGACCCCTAAAATTTCAAAGAGATGTAAAACCCTGCTAACTATAATTTTTAAGCATGTTTAAAACTGTTTTAATGGCATCACAGAAGCTATTCTGAATTAATTTTCTAACTAAATAACATATTTGCAATTAAAAATTTGAACACTACTGCAGCAATAATTTTCATACAATGAAAAAACTTACAACATACTGTAAATGAAGATATTAATTTCTTCTATTGGGTTTTATGAAACACCAACATGCTTATAATTTTAAGGCGGCTTTGTATTAAATTGATTTCCAAGGGCCTCTCAGTGATTTGTAAGAGACCTTAGCCTACACCACTATAGAACCAAACCAGATAAGTTTTATATGTTTTTCACATCATAGACCTTCATGTATCTAAAACACTGAGTTGTGAGTGCCAAAAGACCTTCATGTATCTAAAACACTTAGTTGCGGGTGCCAAATATTCCCATCAGACATTTGACCAAAAAGGAAAAGTTACACAAAGTTACTGCCCTAATACACTCCCAATGTCCCTCTCCAAGAGAAACTGTACTAATAAATTAGCATCTAAACATAACTACTCATCTGACATTATATTAGTATGAAGCATACAGAAATAACAAGTAAACTAACCTTTATAAGGAACCCTTTGTTTCCAGTGTGTCACATAATGAGCAATAAGGTGTTGCCTATACGAGGGGCGGAACAGAGAAGGCGGGCACAGTCGACAATGGTACATCCCATTACAACATAATTGAAGAGAACATCTTTCTAATGGCAGATCTTTGAAACTCTTCACATGTGAGAAATGTAACTGAAATAAAATATATTGAAATTCCATCTTACTTCAACAACAAGAAAGTAACACGACAGTAAAACATTAATCAAATCTTGTGACAATAACTTTTTCCTCGTGCCATCTGACATACAGCCAGACCAGTCAGCATTAACAATCAATTTGACAAGATTCTGTCTGGAATATAAGCACTTTAATTTTAGAATGCTTCTATATTCCAAATCCATTCCATTAACAATTTACGATAAACAAATTCAAATGTTAACAAATCCAAACAAATTCATAATAATTAGGGTTAAACTAATGCCCTGACGTATTTTTTTTCAAGCTCAAGTATTTTTCTACAATTGTCTATGGTGAAAATAACATGTATTTATATAATTAAGTAGATCTAATATAAAAGCTACAGTTAAAATAGATAAACCGTCAAATCAAGCTTACATTAAGCTGTTTCTCGTCAACAGTATTTATCATTTCATCATCATCCGAGTTGTGTTCAACTACCTCAGTCTTCCTCTGTAAACATCTCCATAGATGATTCACTGTCAGACTTCTCTCCTTACAAACCTGCTGACACTGCGGACAATGATAGTGCTTATCCCTATTAAGCTGACATGATACTTTCTTACAGATTGGAATCTCGTATCCTTTAAAAATAAAGACAATTTTTAACCCTTTTTTTTTGTAGATTAAGTTTCAAGTACATGACATACACAGACAATACAACTTAAGATTATATAGATTAATCAGAAAGCTTTTTCAATGACTTACGTCAAATATAAATCTATAGCATGTATATGATACAAAATATATTCAATTCAAAATGATGTAACCTCCTACAGTAAGCAATCTTTGCTTATTTTTTCAATAACAATTGTCAATCACTGATTTGGTGAAAAATCTGAATGCAAAATAGAACTACTACTCTTCTTAAAACCAGCTTTACACCTTTCTGGTACAAAATCTACATGTACCATTGATACAAAATAAAATGGAGATAAAGGGTTACTAAAAGAGACTTGTTTAATCGAGGAAGACATTTCATTAAGGTAGAAGTAAAGGTCAAAGATATTTAGCCATTCTACAAAAGATGACTTCCTATAATGCCAGAATCATGATAAGAACTTTAAAATGAATCTAGAATCTAATTTTCTTACAAACAAATTGATAGAAATCCTTACCATAGGCATTAATAACATCCGGGAACTTTGAATCAGGTAATACAAGCAGTCTATCTGGGATACCCTGATAATCAAAATAACAGAATTATTTGTAAATTCAAATAAATATAATTATTCATTTATTTACTTATTTAATATGTAGAAGATACCATTGGCTTTTACAGTTGTTCAGTATGCTTGTATCTTGCCAAATAAAATAGAAATTAAAACTAGTTTAATATTTTATAGATAACATTTCTATGAGCATTTTTGCATACACTTAAATTACTTAGACATAATCTATATATGGAAAGCTTCCTAAAATTCCATTTTATCATCAATTGAAAAGTTTGTAGCCAATAGAATTAAGGGTAATTTTATTACAAAAGGGGTATTTTTATTTAAAGTCATCAGCATTGCAATGGCAACAACACAAACACTTTTTTAACTTGTGTATCAAGATAAAAATTATAAAATCTTCAACATTCTTTTAATGACAAACAAAACAGCTAGATATTTTCATTCTCACCAGTTTTCTCATATGTCTCAGCATATGCCTGGCGTAAGAGTTTCTCTTCAGAATTTGTTGACAACAGAACACACAATGATAGTGTCCAAAGTTTCTCTCTAGATTACAGTCTTGAAAACACTTCACTATCATCAGATCTGTAAAATACATCATAAAATAAATGTACAAAATCATCTCATATTCACATGTATAAAGATCAAACTAATTGTTCATAAAAATACAATGTAAAATTCTTCATATTAGATACTTGTTTAACATGATGATGTAAATTATACAAAGAACTGAGTAAACTTCACAAATCAAAAACTGAGTTGTTACCAAAACAAACCATAATTCAGTACAAAAAGGGAAATAAATGAGGAAAGTACAGTAATGCTGCAGATATCTGATGAAATATTTTTCATAATTTATATTTTCTTACTACAACATATTTTTCATATTTAAAGAACTCCTTTCAATACATGAATAATAATCATTGAATATGGTTAGAAACCTAACAATTTTTAACAGTTTAACAAAACAAAAGACATTTTATCCCAATTAAATATTAAAAATTCTCAATACATTTTATCACACACCCGTGCCGATTATGCGACTGTAAATATGGTATTGCACGGCCGTGCATATATTTTGACGTGAAGTCATTAGCGTTATACAAACATAGTGTAAAGACGCGCTAAATGTTAGCATTAAACTATAGGCGCGTCAATGAAATATGTCTCTTATTTCAGCTTAAACAGTCTTTATTTTTGGTATGTGATAAATAGAATATTAAATTTGTGTAAGTTCATTACTGAATTTATTGCACTCGTTGAATAAAATGATATTATGCTCGCCAGAGGCTCGCATAATATCATTTTATTCAACTCGTGCAATAAATTCAGTATTGAACTTACACTCATTCAATATATTGTATGAATTTTTTTTTTTTTAAAAGTATGCGTCGTAACAGAAATTTATTTCTTACAGCCAATGGCGAAACATAACAAATCGAAAAAAAAACAGGGATTTTCATTGTTTTTTTTTTTTTAACAATAAGCATGCTCTTATTAATTAGTCGAATCCTAATTAAATGTATACTTATAGACAGGACCAAAAACATCACTTATTCCTCAAGCTCTTGTGTATTCTTTAAAAACTGAGATTTGTAAAAAAATATCATTTTTTTACTGGAAAATAACAATTTTAACAGAGAAGAAACCCACCATCATATTGAACGCCATGTGCGAAGTGTGTCAGCTCAAGGTGGTCCTGTACCCTACCAGCTTTGGCAGGTATAAAATGACTCGGGTCACAGAATGGGCAGTGTACCATCTTACAGTTACAGTCAGAGTCATCACATTTGGTCAGATTTATCGTACAGCTTGGTCCAAGGAATGTTGGGTGGTCTTTCTACAATATAGCAATTAATACATGAATAATTCAGATCTCCTTTAATTAACAAATACAAAATTATATATACTGTGTTCATCTTAGCTCGCTGTTTAATGCCTTGAAACAAGAAGAAAATCAAACATTTATCTTACTGTACAAAAACCTGTCTAATGAAAATATACCATTACCTTAAAATAAATAAAGACTTGGAATTAATGATTATGACCAATAAAAATAATTCCATAGTTGTCATAGCTACAATAAATCTGTTTAAAATTATAACAGAAATCACTTATCTTTTGTATAAAACTATCTTGCCATATGTATTACAAACTTTTTCTCACCCTCTTGCTTTCTTTGGCAAACATCCTCTGTTGCCTAGAGACCTTTTTCACCGGTGTAGTTCCAAAGCCGGAATATTGACTATTAGTACTCTTGTTGTAGGAATGGTAGTTATTTACAGATGAGCTGCTACCTCGACTCTCATCCATGTCATCACTGTATTCATCATAGTCATCATTCATATCTCCAACCACGTCACTCATCTTTGGTAAAACATCATGCTCATCTCTGGTATTATATAAAATAAACATTGTACTGATTGTAGTAGTCCTTCAGTCTGTTAACGGTAATATATTAAATAAACAACATGTGAGTTCTTCAGTTTCTTTACATTGTAAATATATCTTATTGTTTATGGGAGTTTTAAGTAACTCTATCATTGTAAATGTCATATATAGAGAAATTCCAGCTATACAGGAGGAAGAAGACTTAAAGAACCCCTCTGTGTAGATTATTTCAAGAAAAAGAAGCCCCAATCTTTGGTAAACTAGCCGGATAATGTGCTTTCATGATATAATTAATCCAAAGTCCAAGGTAGGATATATACGAACACAGATGAGGGGTAAGTGGTTCAATGTCAGCAATTTTTACCACTAAGCCACAGAGGTCTCCTTTATAAATAACTGGTAATACAAAATAGCAATATTACAAACTGTAAGTTACTCAATCTATATATTTGTCTAACTTCATTACTTTAATATAAAGGTAGTTTATTTTAAGAATTTGATGGATGTTAACTGTTTAATAAATGCACAAGTACCTGAACATGCATACAGACAGATCAAGAAAGGTTTTCCATATAGACATTGTAATTAGACCATGACATTGTAATTTGTGCTTTACAATGTTTTAAAATAAAATCTCTTCATATAATCACATTTAATTTATCAATATGGTAGCAGATTGCAGAATAACAGAAAATAATTACACAGAGCAAAGGTAAAAACACTGAAAATGGAGTAATAAGCATTGAAGATTTATCTTTTTAAAAAGCTTAATCCATTTAACACTTGACCCTTAATCAATATGGAAATATGAGGCACATTTTCTTGTGGAAAGGTTGTAATTTTTTTAAACTATATTGATTTCTAATTTTATATGTAACTAATATTGTAGACTTACGCAGGATATTTACAGTTGGGCATATGTTTGTGAGACTGTGAGCCCTCGGCAAATGTGTCTCCCATCTGTATCACCATAGCTGGACATCGCAGGTGTTTGTTTCTTATTGAACATATCCAGTAACTTCTCCCATCTTTACATAACTACCAGAACACACAAGAAAATTAATGAATTCTTTTTCATATCAAACACCAAATAATTTCAAACAAATACAACTTCTTAAGAAACATTCCATATAGAAAAGTAGTCTATTAAATTATTTGGAGTATCAAAACTTTTTATTTCATTAAGAAATATAATGGCAAAATCTGCCTGTTTTTGTTGTTCAATTTTTCAAGAACAGCGTAAAATGTTCAGGTTTTATTCATACAATACTTACCTGGAGTATGCCCAATAAGAAACAAACACATACACACATTGTCCATTCTCATTAAACAAGCATGCCAATATATCTTATATATGAAGCAAACATTTCCATTTGCATTGCCCTAAAAATTGGTTAAAAATATCCCAAATATAGAATAACTTCCTATTGCATTTCAAGTTTAGAAATCTAAATCCCATAACCCCACTCAATAAATCCTCTTTATCACCCCCCCACCCACCATTGACTGGTTAATGTTTTTCCTAAAAGTATTGAATACTTATTTCAAACTGTACAGGGCATTTCCTCCCTTTCACTAGGGGGTTCCAATAGGAATATTCCTGCCCAAAATAACACCTTTTTAACAAATTCCATAAAAAGATTTCCAACAGCTGCTAAATAGTTAAATTGGAAAAATGTACTGTTTTGACTTGGTTTTTTTTTCTCGTTTTTTTTTTTTTTTGTGAAGAAAACAGGCTATACATGTATAATTATACACATTAACTGACCATATGTTGTGTGTAAGGTAGTGCTTTTACACTTTTTTTTAAATTTCACAAAATCCCAAAAGCCACATAATTATTTCATTATTAAAGCAAAGGTCCTTTCCCTATAAAAGCCAGAAAAAATATAGCTGTACAGCCCTTGTACAAGAATAAACTGATGATAAAGCATTCATCCAATGCTGTTTTCTTATTAATGATTTTACATGTCTATCTTGACATAGGCATTATAATATTTTTAGAACTATGTTGGTGGATGAGAACTTACAGCTTTCTGTTTGTACCAGGTAAATGTATGTGATCAATTTTGGTTTGATTAAACGTTTGTCCGACTTGTTTGACCAGGGCAGGACAAGAACAAGTGCTGTTTCTTATTGAGCATCTCCAGGTAACCAGGTTACCATTCTTGGATACCTGTAGAAAACATGAAATACAAATAAACTGATCTAGATATGATCTTTAGAAATAATGTCACAAAAAAAAAGAGCAACAGCGAATTACTAGCAAGTTTTGCAATCTCAAACTGTCCTTTTTTCAAAATTTTCAATTAGTTTCCGCAGGCAACATGCTGACCCAATCCAATAAAAGCTCAACAATGATTTCTTAAATATCAATAACAAATTCTTTATCATAACTTTTTTTAACCATGTTAACACAAACATAACTTATTTAACATGTAATAATAACTGAAAATACAGTCAAACTTTGTTCGCTCGAATTCCGAGGGCCTGTGCAAATTTGTTCGAGAAATCGGTAGTTCGAGCCAACCGAGGATGAACAATTATCAAGTAGGACATAGACCTAAAGGTTTTCCAGCTTACATGTACATCTGTCGAATTATAAATGTCAATATAATTGTTTGTTAGTACATCAGTTCGTCAAATACGTCATTTCTTTTAAATATTAAGTACTATTATTCCAGTGTTTGCAAATGAGTATTAACGGTACACTGTGTAAATCTATATTCATTCAAATTGAAATTGGTTAAGTTTGATTGGGCAATCAATTTCCAAACTTGATGAGCAATGTTCAAAATATATTCCTATGTTTATTTTGGGATAAATTTTATCTTAAACAATGAATAAATAAAATACTGAAAAAAAAAACATTTACAGCAGCATCTATTTGTAGTCACTTATTAGAATAAACACCATACAAGTATTATTCTATAAATTGATAACACTGATACAATTCAGGTTACATGCACCATGGCTGTAATTAAAGCCGTCCAAGAAAAGGTCATTTATTTATTGACTTTTGCACATTTTACTTATTTCATGAGTTATCTTCTATTTGTCATTACTAAAGACGGCAAATAAACAACATTATCATAACAAACAAATTGGTTACAATACCTCTAATTATGAATCAATTAACCTTAACTGCCTTTATCACAATCACAAGGTGTTAAAACATGTGTCGCAGGCTGTCACTTATTTAGAACATGTTGACCCGCAACTTTTGTTGTCTTTTGAGTTTAAACGAAAAGGTGTGATTTCCACTATATTTCTGCCGAAGGGACAAAAAATCAGCTTCGAGAGTTCGAGCAATCCGAGGTAGAACAATAAATATTATATAGGAACTTTGCCCGAACTGGGCAGTGAGTTCAAGCGAAGGAAGGTATTCGAGCAATCCTAGTTCGAGCGAACGAAGTTTAACTGTATATAATAGATCATAATTATATTCATCGATAATGCTTCAGTTGATACCTATACCTCACCCTACAAAACAAAGAAGAAGAAAATGATGCAAACATAACTTCATTACCTTTTTCTGTGTATATGTGTAGCCAAATCGATCTTTAAGTAGATCTTTCCCAGCTTTAGATCCTTCCTTTATTATCCTGTAGTTAGGCGTGCTGGTATTAGATTTTTTAGCTGGCTGCATTGACAACCTAGTAAACATAGCCACAGAGAGTTAATTTCATTGATTTTAAAATGTTTAAGAAAAAATTTAATAGTTAACAACTTTCTTCTAACAAACTACTTCTTACAATTCATAAAATTTGATCTCCAAGATGAGCTGCTACCAATGTAAGATCATTGTCATTTATTAAGCTAGATGCTTGATGAATTACTTTCACACATGAAATAACTTAAAGTGCAACCCCTTAGAAATGAGGTAAAAACAATGAATAACAGCAATCTTTATCACTTGGTCACAAAGACTCTGTCTAGGAAAAAATATGGACATCAGTTAAATCTTCTAATGATATATTCAAGCTTATTTATTTGCTTATTGAAGTTATTGGTCTGCATGTAATTACTTTTAAAGTATGTGAATGTTTTGTAACTTTATTATCAAAGAAACTCTTATGTTATTTCTGCTACTAAAATAGAGTATATGTACTTTGAAGAGCCTGGAGGTCGTCCAACTGGTGTTCGTTTAACGGCACCGTGTATTGAAGGTTTAGGTGTAGATTGTCCGACGAGATGTTCATGCTTTCTCTTCCCTCTAATGAACACATTACCACGCTGTACGACCGATGCTGGACATCTTAAATGAGTGTTACGTATAGCGCACCACCAGTATGTCAAATTCTTGTTACCTCTTCCTTGCTAAAATTTACAAGAGATTTCCGTTTAAGTTCTTTTTATATAAAACAATCATCTTAACACACAAGTACAATGTAACATGTATAAATATATGTTTTTTTTGGGGGCAATGACTTCATCTACTGTATACCTTCAAAAGGATTTCATTATTAGAATACCAGCATTGACAGCCAATGGCTTGATTGTGGTCAAACAAAACAACAATACTGGCCAGCTGGACCAATTACTGATAGATGTTCTTATTTTCACAAAAAAAATATTAGCAAAAATGCAATAAGAGTGCTACATAATATGGTCATAAAAGTTATTTTTCAACCAGCAGCTGATAATGTAAATTTTATCACAACCAAGAAAGATTAAATCTAGCACAGAAAAGTTAATTTCATTGTTAATTTATTTAACTTTTTTCTTCCAATAGTACTTATATATGTTTATATTTCTTTTTGTAATTTAATGATGGCAAAAATAGAAAACTTCTTGAAAATCAAATATCTGTTTCCAAATATCATTAATCCATATATATTGTGATGTAAATTTGATAAATAAATGATGTTTCAACTAAATATCATTGATTAAACTGATCAAATTTAAGGAGACAAGTGATAACACAATTATTCCAAACCCTAAAAAACAATGAAAACATAATTTTGTTTCTCGATATTGTAACTGCTCCCATTTTATCATACATGTAGAATATTATTAAAGCAATTATCAACAGCAAAGTACCTTCATATTGTAAGTAAAGCCCAGACTGTCAATCAATTTATCTCTTCCCCTTGATGTACCTCCTCGCACTATCTCATATGTTACACCAGTTTCGCTAAAACATACAATAAATAACATAGATTGGTCGCTTTATTCATGAAGTAATACAAATTAAATCTTTCTTTGTACCTTCTTAACAGTATAGGTAAATCCTAAGCTGTCAATCATTTTATCAGCGCCCTTCTGTGTACCTCCTCTTAGAATTTCATAAGTTACACCACTCTCACTGACAATGAAAATAAAACAGAAAAGACAGCAAAAACTGAATGATTAAATCATGCTAATTTTTCTCCAAAATGACTCAAAATTAATGTGAATATTTTCATTTCTTTCTATAGAACTTGACTCAAACAAAGGACACACTCCCGAATCGGAGTGGTTATATAACATCGTTTGGCAAAAATAATCTGAAATAAATGCTACAGTAAGCCTTAGCCAACATCTTTGTGGGTATCTGGGACTTACAAACTATCATGACATGTTAAACTAAAGAAATACTACTAATTCAAAAACTGGTTTTCATTCATTTAAACTTTCATGAGAAGTCTATGCTTCTGGTGCTTTTCCCCCCCAAAACAAGATTGCATTTGAGAAAAATGCTATGCCACCGCATGGCTCAAATTTCATAGCTGTACATCAAAGGACAAGAAAGTAGGTCAAATCATCAAAATCTAGGTCAAAGTTCAATTTTACAACTAAAACTGTGCACATGGTCAAAATGTCATTGCTGTACATCAAAGGACAAGAAAGTAGGTCACTGTCCCCTTGGGCAAAGCATAATTTTAACCCAAGGGTTTAATAACAATCTTAATACAGGTCCACCAAACAACATTTCAAGTCAAATATCTAAGCTATAGCTTTCTCCCATTCAGAAAATATTTGTTTTATTTTCTGTTTTTACTACGTGTACATAATGAGAATCAATGCCCCCGGGCAGGGCCAATTTTTGACATTTGAACAACTTTGGTAGAGGACCTATAGATGATATCATATATCAAACATCAAAGCTCTATGCCTTGAACCTTCAGACAAATATTTTTTTTTTTCACTATATGTACATAATGAAAATCAATGGCCCCCGGGGCGGAACCAATTTTGACCCCAGGGCTATAAATTGAACAATCTTGCTAGAGGTTCACTACACAATGTTTCATGCAAAATATCTTAACTCTATCCTTTGTAAATTTAGAGAAGATGATTTTTTAAGTTTTAACTATATACATATAAGATATACCTATGGCTCCCAAGGGCGGGGCTAATTTTGACACAAGAGGCAAAATTTGAACAACTTTGGTAGAGTACCTTTAGATGATATTATTCAACAATTATTAAAGCTCTAAGCCTTGTACCGTCAGATTAAATAAGATTTTTTTATTTTTTACTATATGTTTATATTGAAATCAATGACCCCCAGGGCGGGGGCAATTTCGACCCCAAGGCAATAATTTGAACAATCTTGCTAAAGGTTTACAACACAATGTTTCATGCAAAATATCTAACCTCTAGCATTTGTCAATTGCTAGAAGAATTTTTTTTAAGTTTTTACTATATATATATATAAGGAAAACCAATGACCCCAGGGGCGGGGCCGATTTTGACCCCAGGGCTATAATTTGAATAATCTGGGTAGAGGTCTACCAGATAATGCCTTATGCAAAATATCTAAGCTTTAGGCCTTTTGGGTCTTTACAAGAAGGTGTTTTAAGTTTTTACTATATGTACATATAGTGAAAATCAATGACCCCGGGGCGGGGCTGATTTTGACCCAAGGGCTATAATTTGAACAATCTTGGTAAGGGTCTACCAGATGATGCCTTATGCAAAATATCTAAGCTCTAGGCCTTTTGGGTTTTTACAAGAAGGTATTTTAAGTTTTTACTATATGTACATAGTGAAAATCAATGACCCCCCGGGGCGGGGCCAATTTTGACCCAGGGCTATTATTTGAACAATCTGGGTAGAGGTCTACCAGACATTGCCTTATGCAAAATATCTAAGCTCTATGCCTTTTGGGTCTTTACAAGAAGGTGTTTTAAGTTTTTACTATATGTACATATAGTGAAAATCAATGACCCCGGGGCGGGGCTGATTTTGACCCAAGGGCTATAATTTGAACAATCTTGGTAAGGGTCTACCAGATGATGCCTTATGCAAAATATCTAAGCTCTAGGCCTTTTGGGTTTTTACAAGAAGGTATTTTAAGTTTTTACTATATGTACATATAGTGAAAATCAATGTACCCCGGGGCGGGGCCGATTTTGACCCAAGGGCTATAATTTGAACAATCTTGGTAAGGGTCTACCAGAAAATGCCTTTTGCAAAATATCTAAGCTCTAGGCCTTTTGGGTTTTTAAAAGAAGGTATTTTAAGTTTTTACTATATGTACATATAGTGAAAATCAATGACCCCCGGGGCGGGGCCAATTTTGACCCCAGGGCTTTAATTTGAACAATCTTGTTAGAGGTATACCAGACAATGCCTTATGCAAAATATCTAAGCTCTAGGCCTTTTGGGTCTTTACAAGAAGATTTTTTAAATTCATTCTTATAATTCCTTTTGGTTGCCATGGCAACCAGATTTCTGCATGGAATGAAATTCTTTGAACAACTTTGGAAGCCCTTCACCCAAGGAACAATCCTGCCAAGTTTGGTTGAAATTGGACTACTGGTTTTTCACAAGAAGATTTTTTAAGTTCACTATATAATCTTTATAACACACACACACACACACACACACATACATACACACAGGTGAATCGCTATATGCCACCGCATCCCAGATGCTGCGGTCACCGCATCGCAGATGCTGCGGTGGCATAAAAACATTTTAAATAAAGTGGTTTTCTTTTGTTCTGTTTTTTTTAGCTTAAAAATGTAAATAAAAAATTTTCTGCTAAACATACTAAAGCATTAAGCTTTACTGTATATCTAGATATTTTCACGAAAATATTTATGCGAATGATGCAATATTAATATTAAACAAATGCACAATTTCACATTTTGTTTTCCTTGTATTATGTATATTAACATGGCGTTAAATCTATGTATCATGTTTTCCTTGTATATTAACAAGGCTTTAAAACTATGTATCATTATTTCATATCAACCTTAACCTGCTAGAATTCAAAACTTAACTAGCCTTTACCATCAGTATAGAGCCAGGCCAGCTTACCATCTGTACTGTCTGACCCAGCTCTAAAATATAGTAGTAGCTGATTTTAAATTTTATCTGGATATGACACCAAGTGATTATAAATACACTGGAGCCGCGATATAGCCCTCATCGGTATAGCGCTTATCTCAGTAGAACGCTCATATGCCTTGGCTCCCAAAAAAAAAATCGTATTTTTCGCCCATTATAATTTTTTTTTCATGTATATCAATACCGCACCTTATCCACTATAACGCTTGTTCAATGTGTCAGTCGAGTGCAATAAACAGTCATAATTACGTCACTCATGATAAGAAGGTGTGAAGTCATACACAGGTAAGCGTTAATCCGCTCTTTTGTTCATTTTGAACTGTTGATCAGTCAGGTATCAAACTGTTAGCTAAGACATGCAAACACCGACGAGTTAAGTAAATCACCCAAGCATACAATTAATTCTAAAAAGCATGCACTTTCGATCTATCTGCAAAAAAGTTGTTGAGGATGACTGATTTTTTCACAAGAGACAGCAGGAAAGACGATTAATTTAGTCCCATCCACTAGGTATCAATTTTCATGACCACACATAACTCACGTTAACACTGCTGTTTTACTGGAAATTTATAAACATTCATTCGTGGTTTATATTTTTAATTCGTAAATTTCATGTTTATATTAAAGATATTCAGTAATGCTTTACAAAATAATTAATAATAATATATAAAAAAGCTTGGACTGATATCCATTGGAAGGTAAGTAAACGATCAATTCCACTAACAAGCGTTATATGTTTCGGCGGTGGGTGGGGTAATGCGATATTTTCGCTATAATTACAAAATGAGCGTTATAAAAAGTTACTCGTTACAACGCTGTCTTGAGATCATGGACCCCAACATGAGCGCTATATCGCGGCTCCAGTGTATAAAGAGGATATTGAATAAAAGAGGTTTAATACTAAATTTATTGAACGAGTTGAATAAAATTATATTGTTTTATTCAACGAGTTCAATAAATTTAGTACTGAATAATATACACGAATATAATATTCTGTTTATCAAATCTATAAAATAAGAAAGGCAAACTGTTAAAAAAGACTCATGTTTCATCAACGAGCCTATAGTGTAACGCTAACATTAGCACGCTTATAATGCTATGTTTATATAAAACGCAAATGACATCACATCAAAGCAGTCAATGAATTTAAGATTTTGAATTAACTATTTACTGATTTTCTTAAAATTTTCACTGGCTCAAACTAATTTTGACTGACCATGGGCCACTGAGCCAGTGCTATAGGCCACTGAGCCAGTGCTTAATTTGATGACAGCAAAGTGTTATTACACTTGTGTAATATCGTTTTTATTAAATGGCTTTATTACACTCCAGTCTCCTGCATGGTGGTTTATATGATAATTTCAAATATAGGAGCTAGTAAAGAAATTTAACAGGCTAATGTTTACCAAGGCAAAGAAAAGTAATTTAAATAGTTACGTGTCAGGGTAAACTTCACTTGTCTCCTGCTTTCCTCCAGAAGTTGGTGTATTAGTCATTAGATGTGATCGTAGCACACCCTCTGAATAGTTCATTTCAATAGTCTCTTGGTTAAGTGGAACCTGGGTTGATACCTCCAAAAAAATGAAAACTACATCTAAAATATTGCATGTAAACTGTTTGTGGAAAATAATAATCATAATATTTAGTTTTTGCCAATTCTATAGATTAACAATGACTTTATGAAAACAGTTTAAAATCAAATTGACATATGTTTAACAAAAAATGCAATCAAGGAAAAACCTTTATATGACTCTGAACTCAAATTAAACCATGTTGTCTCTTTATATCATCATCATTTTATCCAAATAAATCATAAATATTACCATCTTTTGTACAGACAACACTTAAACATAGAGTTAAAAATAAATTAAGTAATCAGTTAGTAAAAATTGTACATATAAGAATTTTTTTTTTAACAAAAGATTAAGATGACAGTTGTAGGATAACTAGGAATTATATACCTGAACCTCCTCGGACACTGTTGCCATGTTGGCCATCATTATAATTGGTTTCAGATCTGCCATATTCACAGGAGTACCTTCCTCTGTTTCAAAAGTGTAACCATGAATCGGTGTTTGTGTTGATGAAACAGTTTCTGTTGCCATGGGGATGATCTCCACCATGTCACTTGAAGAAGCCATCGCTCTTACTAAAACCAGTGAAATGATAAAAGTTAAATTATACATGCCAATTGAATTTACTCAGACTCTAACAAAAGTACATGTTATCTAATCATGTATATTAATATTCTATAGCTTAAGGTATCAACAATGTTACAACAAGCAAATTCGTTGAATTTATATTCCCTGCCGAGTACTGCTTTTTATTAACACAACAACTGAAAACATGAAGCTTTATTTATATATTAATCATGGCATAAACAGTAATATTCTTTGAACTTGATAAATATTCAGGGCAATAACAGAGCCATAACTTAGTGTTAAATAGTAATATCTGGAAATGCCAATGAGATGTATGCATACTACATAACTAATCAAGGGCCATACAGGGCTAGCACTGGCAGATTTTTTCTTTGAGCCAATTTTTCGCGGCGAAAATTGCGTGCCTGTATTTTATTTTCAAACAAGCAATCATGGTACTGCAAAATAACCAGAATTCAATTGTCAGACTTACTTATTGCATTATCTCATATATGGAACACTTTAAAAGGCATGAGATATTTAGAAGAAAAAAAAAACTATATCCAACTTTATTTTGGTAGCTACATTTTTATCACATTAAAACTGATCATAAAAGCTTGCAGCTCAGTAGCTATAACAGTTTCCAGGCTAAGTTGGTCAGCAATGTTTTCATAAAATCTAAGTCAGTGGCATGACAGTGACATCAGAACCACATTCCAATGTGCTGCTTCAGCTTGCTTGGTTAATGCCAAAGACTTTGTTTGAGGGCTATCTGTATCTGAAATTATAAAAACAGAAACATTTGAGAGCAAGAAGAATAATTATTAATGAAGAAAGAATATTGAAAAGTTCTAAACTAAACATAATTCAGGAAAAAAATGACATACTATTCATTATAAGAGTAAAGTAATTAGCATAAGTTTCTTAAAAATATTTTGCATGCGTCTTGAATTTTCCTTAAACATTTCACAGCCATATGCCATTTGTAAATGAATGCTCCAGACATAGGTTATGTACAAAGTAAGGTCATTTTTTTTTCCAGGAATACTAATTGTCAAATATACTCCTTGTCAAATTTATATAAGTTTTTTTTTAAACAATTTTTAGGTCAGATTTAATTTGCAATTAAAAAAAAAACTTGTATTCTATAAATCATAATTCCTTTGATCTTTTTATCAACAACAATAAAATTTAATGAATGCAAACTTACCGTAAAGTCGTCCATTTCATAACCAAACTGTTGATTTGATTGGCGTTAATCTTAAGATGCCGCTAGTTATTGTTTCATATTGAATATAAAGACCAATTATCCAGTGCACATTTAACAATCTGCCACAGGTATTTTTCACACCAATTAGTGTCGTATTTATCAGCTGATAAACATGTAAACATACCATGAGGTCAATGTATTAGACTGTGTTACTCTTTATAACGATATTTTATTTGGAAGGGAAGTAACAAATATAGACCAGTCAATGACCCCACAAAAAGGAGACTGTGTCGCTGTCTTTTGTGATAAGAAGCGGTAAAGCGGAAGTTGTATATGGTATGTGTACTTTTCCATTCTTAAAATAGCAAATGCTAAATTTAGACTGGATATTCCAAAAGTTATACTTTTCTTAAGTTGGAGCCAATCATGATTTTTTTTGAGCCAATTTAATAATTTTGGAGCCAATTTGCTCATTGGCTCCTGCCAGCGCGAGCCCTGCCATAAATCTGAGTTATAAGTATCTGACCGGAACAAGGCGACTATATGCACATCTCCTCTTAGTATCCCATAACTTTTCATTGAATTCCAGCCAGTAGTTACAGAGAAGTAGCACGGAAACGATTATTGCTCTGGTTGTATACTGCCTAAGATATCAAGGGTCATAACTTTAAGTTAAAATGTCTGACCGGAACAAGGCAGCAATATGCGCATCTCCTCTTGGTATTGAAGGTTCAAATAAAGTTTCATTGATATCCAGCCAGTAGTTGCAGAGAAGTAGCGCGGAAACGATTTTTACTCCATATGCATACTGCATAACTAATCAAGGGCCATAACTCTAAGTTAAAGTGTCTGACTGGAACAAGCTGACGATATGCGCATCTCCTCTTGGTATTGAAGGTTCCCATAAAGTTTCGTTGAATTCCAGCCAGTAGATGCAGAGAAGTAGCGCGGAAACAATTTTTACTCCATATGCATACTGCATAACTAATCAAGGGCCATAACTCTGAGTTTAAGTGTCTGACCGGAACAAGCTGACGATATGCGCATCTCCTCTTGGTATTGAAGGTTCCCATAAAGTTTCGTTGAATTCTAGCCAGTAGTTGCAGAGAAGTAGTGCGGAAATGATTTTTACTCTATATGCATACTACATAACTAATCAAGGGCCATAACTCTGAGTTAAAGGGTCTGACCAGAACAAGCTGACGATATGTGCATCTCCTCTTGATATTGATGATTCCCATAAAGTTTCGTTGAATTCCAGCCAGTCGTTGCAGAGAACTACTCCGGAAACGAAATTTTACTCTATATGCATACTACATAACTAATCAAGGGCCATAACTCTGAGTTAAAGGGTCTGACCGGAACAAGCTAACAATATGCGCATCTCCTCTTGATATTGATGATTCCCATAAAGTTTTGTTGAATTCCAGCCAGTAGTTGCAGAAAACTACTCCGGAATCGAAATTCGGACGGACGGACGGACAACGCCAAAACTACATCCCCCTTCCGATTCCATCGGCGGGGGATAATAAAATTTATATTTGAGCACTTCTATACCTTTCTTGCCAGTTAACCCATTACTTCATGAGCATTTTGTGAAAAATGGCTGTTTTCATTGAAAAGTCTCCCGTTACAAGTTCAAATTGCTATAATACTATAAAAACTGCTTCAACACTAATCAAACTTGGCACAAATGTTGATTGGACCATTGCCCTTGCAACAACATGCTCAGGCTTAAATTTTCTGTTACCTTGGCAACGAGGGGACATCTCAAAATTGCCAAAAATCACTATTTTGCGTTGATTTTGTCCATCAAAATTGATTTCAAAGTGCTGCAACTTCTCAATGGATTGAGATAGAGTCAAATGCTTTTCAGCGTTGGTTACACATTACCTTGTGATCAATCTGGGGTCATTTATAGCCTCTCACAAGTCCAAAATTTTCTTGGTGATGAGGGGGACTCCGCCCACCTTCAAACCCCCCAAAGAGAAGGGGGCACATCCCCCTTCTGGCAACCCTGTGATGTATCTTTTGGTTGGGGGGCCGCGCCGAAAAAGAGGTCACTTTTTTAATCAACATTTCTCAAACAAAAATAAGTGTTGGGTGCCCAAATAAGGCATTTTTTCACCATTTGAGACAACAAAAGGGGGGGGGTATAAAGGCGTTAAAAGGCGTGTATATAACGTAATGGGTTAAGAGCCTGATTCAATTTCTGATACCAGAAATATGCTGAAAGGCTTTTCAATACTCTGCTTTTATATGTAAGCAACTCAGGCTTCAAGTAGCTTAAGCTCTTCAGCATTCCTATTTATATACTATTTTATTATTATTTATTATTTTGAAATTCTTTAATATGCCTATTCCTTAAAGCAATGTTTATGGCACACTCGGTTTAAGGTTTCAGCTTCCTTGCTTCTGATATGACAAAGTTATTGAAGATATAAACTGGTTATGTACATATTTTGAGATTTGATAAGTGACTTTCCAGGGTGATTTTTATGTTAATTTATTCGCATCTGTAAGTTTTAAAGTTCACCAAACAAGAAAAAAAATGTATCTTTCAATACTGTGTAAATGCGGCGGCACGAAATACCCAAATATTGACCATATGTACCCAAATATAGCAATATTCATTTTTGTTTATATAAAATACAGACTAATGAGAAAATTAATTAACATTTATAACATAGTCTGACTTAGGCGGCTATAACTTTCTTTCATTCCATTGAAATGGGAAGTTCAGATGTTGTAAGAAAATAAACTTGGTGACATTTTGCTTATGTACAGTTAAGGTTCATAAATGAATATACTTGCAATTTAAGATAAAGATATGATAATATTTGTTGTCTACATTTAATTTTTGTGGGGGGTTTATCTTTGTTCAAATTTCATACAAGTGTCCATCGTATCATTTTTTAAAAATTTTCATATATATAGCTTTAATGGAGTAGGTCTATCTGTATTTGGGTACATTTGTATATTTTGGTTCTAGTTTAACTAATTGTACTGCGCGACATACGAGATATAGTGCTATTTTCGTGTCTGGGCAATATCTCGCCTCCATAAAAAAGCGAGATTCTGCCCCAGAAAAAAAATATCTCAGAATCAAGCTTTGGCAGTCAATATATTTTGACTAATTTTGGTTCAAAACACAATGATAGGAATATGTATATTTGGATATGTTTGATTTTATCTTAGTGAATGTGTATATTGTAATTCATAATAAACAGCACTTTTTTGTATAAAACATTTATTTTTAGTGTATCGGGACAATACTCGTGTATATTTGGGCAAATATTTGGGTATTTCGTACTACCTATGTAAATGTCTGAATTTGCATGTTCAAAATAAAAATTCAATACACGAAAATATCTTGTTCAAGCGCATTTTAGTTGCAATCTTGTAGTTTGTAGGAAAAAAATCACATTATTTTTTCATGGACTTGATCATTGATAATATATTGATTACCATGATTACTACTGGCATTTAAAAAAAATCTTTTATTTTTTCTTCATTTTTTTAGCCAAATTGAAATAAATGTAGGACAGCTTTATTAATGCAGTTAGTTTAATATAAATATAAGCAAATTAAATATTAAAAGCAACTGTAAAACATACATAAAGTACAGAAAATAATTCAGTCTGCTCGTACCCAAGGTCGAGCCTGTCTATGGACAGGTGGGTGGGGTTCGAAAATCCACGAGTACAAATGGCGGCGATTTGATCAACAGGAAAATCGCCAGCAATTCACCAAAATAGTTTAACTTTCTACCATAAAAACTACATAAAAATGTTGCTTAGTAATCCCTTAACAGAATGGCTAAATACCTTTGCAGACGTTATCGCATAACCATGTAAAAAGCTGGTAAATGTTCTCGATAAATATCTGGGTCGACAAGTCGTGCGGGTGAACAGCGCATCACGCGAACAGCAGCGCCCTCAAATTTTTGAAGGACGAATCAAGGGACGTAACCCGATCATGGTTATCCCCCCTTTGCTGTATTCGCTCTTCAATCTCCCAGAAATGTCAACAAAATGACAATTTTTAGTGTGTACATTATTAACAAAGCTGGTGGCTTAATCTACCAGTATGACCATAGTATGCCACGTCCAGAGAATGAAAAGACGTTTAGTTTTCCTCTTGAGCTGACCTTAAAAGTTTTTGATGAGAAGATTGTTGTGGCGTTTGGTGAGAGAGATGGGATAAAAGGTGGGTGTTTACAAATTACAAGAAATTGAATATGCTAAAGGTCCTTTTTAATAGCAGTCTATCTATCAAACCAATCAGACAACCATATAACATCCATGGACACATCTTAGAAGAAGTAGATACAGCAAAATATTAAGGCCTCAACTTCCAAAGTCACTAAACTGGAATCATCACATTGACCTCATTACAAATTAAGAAAGCCAACAATGCCACATCCTTTCTACAGAGAAACATCCATCAATGCCCAAGGATCATAGAGCTCTGCTATATGACCCTCGTGAGACCTCTGGTGGAATACTCCTCTTTCATGATTCATATCTGGAGATGGTGCAGCACCGAGCAGCAAGAATGGTCTTCTCAGACTACAGAAGAACCAGCAGTGTACGTGACACCGATGCTGCAACACTGTGAAAGTGAGTGGCCTACCCTCCGAGAACGCAGGGCCCATGCCAAGGTGACCATGATGTACCTACCGCATAGTCAACGGCCTAGTTAAAGTCCCCACAGCCAACCTCACCCCAATTATCTCTGCTCGAGCACTATACATAGTACCTTTAAATCACTTTTGTACATATATAGACACTTCTCACACTGCGCTGGGCTAGTATGAGTATTCGCCGGAAAGGTGTCTGTACTATATTGGAAAAAGAAGATGAAGAAGAAAATGTTAAAAACAGGCTGGAAAACTAGGGTGAGACATGTTCGATGCAGGCTATGGCTGCACTGAACTTCTCAGGGGTAGGGAGTAGGGCTACTGCAGGGGGTAGGTGGTTCCAGTGGTAAACCATTCTAGGAAAAAATGAGAATTTATTATAGTCTGAGGTTGCTGTGAATAACTTATAACTTATGTGATGGCCATGTTGTTGTTGTTAATCTTCACCGCCTATATAGGCAAACCTCTGTGTAGTCAACTGAGTGTAACAAATAATCCTCCACCGAATATCACTACCTATGTATAGCCCCACTTATATTCACAGTTACTCCCACACAGTAGATATATACAATCTATTTACACTGATACTGGAATAATATACCTAATGTATATTGCACCACCGTGTTGATTATTCCGCCACTGCTCCTTATCCTCTTAGGCTTGAGCAACAGCAACAACTTGTATCTTGTTGAATGAAGAAGGTAAGTAAGGCGTCGGAAATGATATTCAAGTTTGTGTAGATTTTCTGGCTTAATTCTCGGGATATTTGTGCAGTCTAGAATAATTCCAATTTGTTGTTTTGTAGAAAGGTCATTTAAGTTTTCTCCAGTTAATATTGTGTACTCTTTTATAATTTCACACAGTACTAATTTACACTGGGGTTCAAGGATTTCACAGTAAAATAGGAAATGTTCAATATCTTCTGATTCTCTTTTGCATAGCTGACACATTGGGTTCACTGTATTTTGATTAAATTCTGCTCTATTACTTTGTAGTATATATGTTGATGTAAGTAGCTTTAACTTGATAGGAAGTCTATTTATTTCACAAAAAGAGTTACCTTTTAATATTTTGGAGAAGAGTGTCAAATATGTTTCTATGGGGATAGCAACCAGACCATGGTGAATTTTATAGAAAAGGGATTACCTAGCATCTATACATCTGGGTTCGAGTTTTTGTGCCCCCACATTAGTGGCGGGCATTTAGATTTACCCTTGTCCGTCCGTCCTTCCTTCCGTCCGTCCGTCCGTCCGTCCGTTCATTTTTGTGTCGCACGTAACTCAAAAAGTATTTGACCTAGAGTCATGAAACTTTACAGGAATGTTGATCAGCATGTGTCGTTGTGCACCTGGGTATTTTCCTCTGGATATTTTTAGTATTTTCAGAGTTATTGCCCTTGACTTAGTAAATTTTTGCAATTTTCAACTTGTGTCGCATGTAACTCAAAAAGTACTTGACCTAGAGTCATGAAACTTTACAGGAATGTTGATCAGCATGTGTAGTTGTGCACCTGGGTATTTTCGTTTGGAAATTTATATTATTTTCAGAGTTATTGCCCTTGACTTAGTAAAATTTTGCAATTTTCAACATGTGTCGCATGTAACTCAAAAAGTATTTAACATAGAGTCATGAAACTTTACAGGAATGTTGATCAGCATGTGAAGTTGTGCACCTGGGTATTTTCGTTTGGAAATTTATATTATTTTCAGAGTTATTGCCCTTGACTTAGTAAAATTTTGCAATTTTCAACTTGTGTCGCATGTAACTCAAAAAGTATTTGACCTAGAGTCATGAAACTTTACAGGAATGTTGATTAGCATGTGTAGTTGTGCACCTGGGTATTTTCGTTTGGAAATTTTTATTATTTTCAGAGTTATTGCCCTTGACTTAGTAAAATTTTGCAATTTTCAACTTGTGTCGCATGTAACTCAAAAAGTATTTGACCTAGAGTCATGAAACTTTACAGGAATGTTGATCAGCATGTGTAGTTGTGCACCTGGGTATTTTCGTCTGGATATTCTTAGTATTTTCAGAGTTATTGCCCTTGACTTAGTAAAATTTTGCAATTTTCAACTTGTGTCGCATGTAACTCAAAAAGTATTTGACCTAGAGTCATGAAACTTTACAGGAATGTTGATCAGCATGTGTAGTTGTGCACCTGGGTATTTTCGTCTGGATATTTTTAGTATTTTCAGAGTTATTGCCCTTGAGTTAGTAAAATTTGGCAATTTTCAACATGTGTCGCAGGTAACTCAAAAAGTATTTGACCTAGAGTCATGTAACTTTACAGGAATATTGATTAGCATGTGCAGTTGTGCACCAGGTATTTTCGTCTGGATTTATTTAGTATTTTTAGAGTTATTGCCCTTCACTTAGAAAATTTTTGCAATTTTCAACTTCTGTCGCAAGTTTCTCAAAAAGGATTTGACATAGTCATTAAACCTTATAGGCAGGTTGCTCAGCATATTTTAGATTTGCACCTGGGGTTATGCTTGTGGATTTATCCAGTATTTCTAGAGTTATTTCCCTTGACTTAGTAAAAAGATTGACAGAACAGTGGCGCGGTGGGGGCACCCGTGTCCTATGGACACATTTCTAGTTTAAGCCTAAGGTAATCTATCTTCCATTAATGTCAAACCCTTCGCGAGGATGTAAGTAAGTAAGTAAGTAAGTAAGTAATGACTTTATTTTATGAGGCTAACACATTCAGTTTCCCGATCTTCCATGCGGGCCTCAGTATATACAAAACAACATAAAATAGTATTATACAATATCACAATCAACATTTAGACAACATAAATATGTACATTAAACATCATATCAATACAATAAATAAGTAAACAATTTTTTTCTTCTTACATAGAGAAGTGACATTTTCATAACTTCAGCATGGAAAGTATATGTTTTTGAAACAATATGTACAAACAATTAGTTAGAAAATTGCCACTGGATATAGGAGGATTGAAATTTCCTCAGGGTATCAGAATTTCGAATATGGATTGGTATGTTGTTCCATACCACAGGACCAGAGTAATTAAATGATTTTCTAAAAAATTCTGTTTTTGGTTTGGGTACAGTTAGTTTTTCATTTTGTATAGATCTTAAGTTAAAGTCATGTTTGTCATTTATTGTTTGGAATTTATTTTTCATATAAATAGGAAAGGATGGTTCATTTATAGATTTATACATGAGGATTGCCTTTTTGTACATAATTCTTTGATCAAAGGGCATCCAATTTAATTCTTTAAATAGAATATTTGATGGGGTATCAAAACTTTTGTCTAAAATAATTCTTGCAGCTCTTTTTGAAAGTTGAACAATTTGCGAAAGTAATTCACTACTGCAGTTTCTCCAAATAGTGCAACAGTAGTCAATATGTTGGCAAAATATAAGCATTAAAAAAAGTTTTATGGAGTGGAGATCAAGGTACTGTTTGATTCTAAGAAGCAAATAGAGCTGTGAATTGCATTTTTTAATAATATTTTGAATATGTGTTTTCCATTTAAGATTTTTGTCAACCTGGACTCCTAGCAGTTTTTCAGTGTCTGTAAATTCTATCTCTTTGTTTTGAAGGTGCAGAGTAGATGAAGCAGTATTTTTTGATTTAGTATTTTTTAACCCTTTCCCCCATGAGCATATTGTGAAAAATGGCCATTTTCACTGAAAAGCCTCCTGTTACAAGTTCAAACTGCTATGAAACTATGAAAAATGCTTCAATACTAATCAAACTTGGCACAAATGTTGACTGGACCATTGCCTTTGTAACGACATGCTCAGTCTTAAATTTCCTGTTACCATGGCAACGAGGGGACATCTCAAAATTGCCAAAAATCACTTTTTTGCCTCCATTTTTTCCATCAAAATTTATTTCAAAGTGATGCAACTTCTCAAGGGATTGAGATAGAGTCAAAGGCTTTTCAGCGTTGGTTACACGTTACCTTATGATCGACCTGGGGTCATTTTAAGCCTCTCACAAGTCCAAAATTTTATTGGCGATGAGGGGGACTCCGCCCCCTTCAAACCCCCCAAACAGAAGGGGGCACATCCCCCTTCTGGCAACCCCCTGATGTAATATTTGGATGGGGGACGGCGCCGAAAAAATGGTCACTTTTTTTAACAACATTTCTCAAACGAAAGACAGTGTTTGGGGCCTAAATAGGGCATTTTTTCACTGTTTGAGGCCTCAAAAAGGGGGGGGGCAAAAAGCCGTCGAAACACGCTTATATAAGGAAAAGGTTAACAAAAAATGATGAAAAACCTTGGAATCACCCAAAATCTAGTTTTTCCATGTTAACATGTGGTCTTTTACCTAATTTTGGTGAAAAAATGTTGTTTTGTAACATTTATAATAATTTTTTTAGTTAACCCTTTCCCCCATGAGCATATTGTGAAAAATGGCCATTTTCACTGAAAAGCCTCCTGTTACAAGTTCAAACTGCTATGAAACTATGAAAAATGCTTCAATACTAATCAAACTTGGCACAAATGTTGACTGGACCATTGCCTTTGTAACGACATGCTCAGTCTTAAATTTCCTGTTACCATGGCAACGAGGGACATCTCAAAA